CTCCATCCATGTTGCTGCAAAAGGCATGTGTTTACTTATTTATTTTTGGGCCACCCTGTTTTTTAAAATGTAATATTATTATTATTTTGCATATAAGAACTGGGGTACGGGCCAGAGGGGCAGGGGTGAGAGGATTCACCAGAGACAGAGTGGGGAGCAGAACAGGTGGGTCTACTGAAATACACTGCTGAGGGGAGCAGTGTCGCTGCCCCATCAGTCTAAAGCACATCATGATTCGCGTCGGGAGTTCCAACATTGGAGGTACTGTTGTTTAGTTTTTGTTTTAAATCGTGGTTTTAGCTTAGAAAAGTAGTTTGTGCTCTTTGTACACATTTTGAGAAATGCAGAGAGGACTCGCAATCACCCGTAATCCCACAACTCGGGGATGAACACGATTGCTATTTTCATTTATTATCTATATAATCGGGGGTCACACTACATGGGACTTAATTTCTGCTTCTCACACTTTACATGATATCAGAAGTATCTTCCCACGGCATAAATGTCTTCACAAGCGCAATTTCTCACGGACATCCTCCATAATATGCCTGAACCACAATTTAATTAACTGTCTTCCTCATTTAGATACTAGGAGTCTACACGGCCTGTCGAGTCTGGTGATTAGTCCCCTAAGTGATGTGTTCCCCTCTCGGAAACATGACACATCACAGCAAGAAGCCGCCTTGGAGATCATTCTGTTCAATGACATCATTTTTTTTTTAAATGTGGTTTAACGTGCCCACTATAAAAGTCACCATTTTAGCCGTTTTAAAGTGTGCAATCCGGGGCACTAAGTCTATCCCTGACGTTGCATCACCCTTGTCCTCTAGTCAGAACATTTTCACAGTGAGGTCATTTCAAAGAAGGCAGCTGAACTCAAGGAGAGAGAGACATCCGCTCCAGTGAGCCCTTTTAGAAGCAGGCGTTCCCACTGGCGGCTTTAGCTGGGGTGGCTGTGGTGACGGGGACCTGGCCATCTCCCGGGAACCACTCAGGCTGGAGAGGCCTTCCCCATAATACGCAGAAGCTGTGGCCCACCTGCCCTGCACCGTGTGTGAGTCTGATTCTTCTTTCCCGTGGCTGCCCCGTCACCTCACACTTCTCCCAAGGCTGCTACAGTTCCTGTGACTACCGGCTCCCATCCGTCCTGGACCCCTATAATAATCTCAAGAGGAAAGGGCCTTCCAAAGTCACAGTTGTCATTTTCAGGGACCTCAGCCACAAATTTGGGGAAGTGGTTTTTAGTCACCTGGAAGAAGGCAGTCAGGATACAGCTGATATCGAGGAGGGAATAAAACAATGAAAAATGGTAACCTTGCTGGAGATAATTGCAATTATCATATTGAGAGCCAAGCTATTACAAATACTGTAAAATTCTGTTTTACTTAATGGCATTTTAATGGAAATGTTGGGCCTCTGAAATAAGAGTGACTGGTAAAGAAAATATAAATCAAGTTTACTAGTTCACTGGGGTATTTTTTATTATTGAATTTGGTATATCCTTGATTCATTAGTGTAGAGGAAAGAATCCTGGAATGCTTTTATCTGTTATGGCCTTTCAAATAAAATGAAGTTCTTTTTCACTAAAATTCTTGTGGAAGATCTCCTATCTATTCTGTCTGGAGAGTCTATTAAAAATCACCACTATTGGCCCTCCCTGGTGGCGCAGCGGGTTAAAGCACAGCACTGAGAATCTAAAGCCGCTTCCACATGAGTTTGATTCCCGCCTGCCCCGGAGGTGCCACATGGCGTGGCAGACCTCTCCTGACCCGCCCGCTGCTCCCCTCAGCAGTGCACTTCATCAGTCAGCCTGTTCTGTTCCACACACTGTCTCCGGTGAAACCTCTCACCGCCCCTGAGCCTCTGGCCTGTACCCTAGTTCTGTATGCACAAATAAATAAATCTTTAAAAAAAAAATCACCACTATTTATGGGGGGGCCCCTCTAAATGTCAAGCAGTGTATTAAGACACCTATGTTATCTCAGGAGTTTCTCATAACATATCTGATGTGGGCAGAAATGAG